CATGTTTTCCTTCGCACTTTAGAAGACCCATCTTATCTTCCATGCAGATGTCTTGAAAGGTGAGTTGAGACGGTAGTCAATCTGCATCACACCTTTGTTGAATAACTGATTGTGACAATTTTGGACGTACTTATGTCTGCCCAATCTTCAAACGCCACATTCCGAACAGGAATAGCATATACATGATGCAAATTTTAGGTTAAGAATAACAAAGCACTAGGTTGAAATGAATTGCCTTATATTACCAGTGAAGGTGGTTTTAATTTCTCTACCTAGTGGGATATAGGTTCCAACAATTTCCCTTTTCCCGCAAGTTAGTAGTTCCTTGGACAAACCATAGTGCAAGCCAGTCATGGGTGACGGTTGCTTCCTCAGCATCCACCTGTTGCCCTAATTTCACTTTAGGAAAGCGTAGGCTGTTGCTCCAGCTTCTATTCTCAGGCAGCATCCTCAACCAGCCTTGACTTCTGTTTTAATTCCTTCATTAATTTTATTTTATTTAAATTATTTAATGCTGCTCTCAGCCGAATTGATGTCGTTCACATTTAGTTGGTGCAAGACAGGCTTCACTCAAAACTGGCTTCTGCTGCTAGTGCGTGTATGTTTGCATTCCTGACTATCAAATCATTACGTACAAGGCAAAACGCCTAAGGTGAGACCTCACAATTTCCCACTTGTCATTGGATAAGAATGAAATTGGCTAAAAGGTGTAATTTTGCTACATGTTCATAGATTTATGGAAGTATCCACCTGTCAGTCTGCCTACCTTCTCATTTTTTGCCTGCCTGCGTGTCCACCTTTCTACCTATCTGCAGGCTTGCCAGTCATGGTACCCAACGTAAAATAACTAATCCCTAGAAAATGAGTCACACTTTCGAGGATTATGATCCCCAGCCGGTTACACTGCAGTTCCTCAGACATTTTCAGTCTAATGTTCCAATGACTAAGTGAATCATCACAGAAATGGTCTTCGTGTTGTGGAAGAGTGACAAGATCCACCACGGATAAGATCGTCACTGACCTTTAGAAGCACAGATAAACAGTCATTTGAAAACACTAACACCACTCAGCTACCATTGTTAGTCGAAGATACTGAGTCTGCATCCATCATCAGTCAGCTAGGACTACTGTATTGAACTGTGATTGAATTCCCCTTGGAATACGAGTAGATGCTGTCTGATAAGTAACCGCTTACCACTCTCTTTCATTTTAATAGGTGGTGTTTGGACTGAAGTGGAGTGGACTGGACTGAAATGAAACCATATAT